AATGATACAGTTAATATTTGATTCAGTTCCTAAAAGCAACAGTTATGCCAAATGATCTGATTAACTTCATCTTTCCAGACAGCCAGGACAGCCATATGCTAATACTAAACATTGACTTTCACAGAAATTACTCAATGTTATCTTACCCCAGTTCTTCCAATATACAGTTGGGATCCTTCAGAGCTTTACAGAGCAGTTTCACACCTGAATCACCCAAATTACTGTTATTCAATTCCAACTTTTAAGAGAGTCTGCTTATAGCCAAATTTCTCCCAGAGATAAAGTAAACCTAAGCCTCTCTTGTACCCATCTGCAACATCATATGTGGACTGAGCAGAACTCTTTCTTTTTGCAGTTTTTTTTTATGGATACCCCTGCTTTAATGCAATATTTTGCAAGGAACTTTCCATAACGTAGCAATTTAGTTGTTCATTTTATTCTTTCATTTGGTAAATCTCCCCAATTTTCCTTCTCCTTCTGCTGGCTGGCCTCCAGCAGGGCCTCTGTGGAGAGGATCTCTTCCAGCTGTCTCTTCTCAGCGCCTGTCTTACTGAGCTAGATTCCCCACACGAGCCCAGCTGTCCTTCAGGTCTGTCCCTGCACTCCATGACTAGCAGGGACACCCTGCAGAGCTGTGTTTGTCTGGCCTGTTCCAGGAGCCCACTATTGCTGTTCTGAGACTTCCTGAGCTTCTCAGTCATTTCTTTTAGATGTGTCCGCAGCACGTATTCACTTTCTGCCAAGCTAAACTGCAGCTGAGTGACAACTACCCAGGGCAACTACCTTGGACTGCAGGCTCTTCCTCTGCTGATTATCAGCCTGTAGGGCCTCATTCTCCTTCAGCTTGTCCCAGTCTCTGAGTCTCTGCTGGGTCTCAGTCATGTAGACGTCTTCAGCTGGGCTTCTGGATACTTTTTCATGTGGCTTTCTTTTCCTCTAGGAATTCTTGAGATGGTCTGAGCTTGTCCCATACAAGAGTTTCTACTGCACTTCTTTGGGACCAACTGCCAACAGCCACTGCTCTGCCATGGACTTACAGCTCTTCTTCTTCTCTGGGGGCTGGGACCTTTGATACCCCCAGCCTCTCCTGACGCTTCAGTTCCAGCACATTTTTTCAATTTTTTCCACCCTCCCCCTGCAGGAGGATCTACGGGCAGGTTTTGCAGTAGACTCTAGCCTTCGTCCTTGAGACAGAATGAATGTAGTGGGGTCCCCTCAAGTGCAAGCTGCCTTTGTTCATCCTCTCTACAACGCTATGTGCAATGAGTCCAGGCCACAGCTGTCATGACATCACGATTGTCATGACATAAGATTGATTTTACATACAACAGTGTGAAAACCAAAGCTCCTAAAGTAACAACCAAGCCAGGTAGTGACCTATACTAGGAACAAGGTTTATTCCAGGCTGAAAAGAGAAGAAAAGAAACACAACATTTCGGCTGTGGAGCCTTCTTCAGGGGTGTGAGATGATGGATACTGTTCAAATACAGGAAAGAGTGAACGTTTGAACAGAGGGAAGGGTAGTTTGTGTACAACATAAAGAGGAGTGTTCCTGTTCAGAGGGAGAGGTGTTCTGATTGCCTAGGAAGATGGAGTCTATAACTACAACATTTTTCATTTTACTGTCAGTATAACTTTGCAATTATCATGTACATGATCATTGATCATTTGCCAACCCTTTATTTTTCCAACTTCAAATTAATTATTTCAATTTAACAGGTTGCATCCTACAATTATTGCAATTGATGTCGATTCTGTCATAACTTTTTTTCTCTTAGGTAAAACCTACCTCAGTTTTTCTAATTTACACTTAGGATCCCTCAGAGCAGCAGACACCACTTTCACTCCTGCATCACCCAGTGTGTTGTCACTCAGATCCAGGTCTCTCCTACTGGAATATTGCATCTGAAGAGCAGAAGCCAGATCTTCACAACATCTCTGTTAACCCACATTTTAGCATCCTAAAGAATAAAAGACAAGAGCACAGATCACATCCTTCTTTGTTACACTACATTAGCCAGCAGCCATGTCACCCTGCAGCTCACAACTGGGAGACATCCTGGGAAAAACTAAGGTTGCTGCTGGAAGAGGTGTTAGTGTGGCCAGTAGGGGGTGCTCACCCAGCAGTCTTTGTGGTTCCTAATGCCCCAGTATAATGATGAGGACACTATACTGTAAAAAGGTGCCATCCTTTGGATGAGGTGTAAAACTGAGGACCTGACTCCCTCTGGTCATTAAAAATCCAAGGGTGTTTCCCCAAAAGGGTAGGGTTGTAACCCTGGTGTCGAGGACAGATTTCCCATTGCCATTGGGCTTTCTAATCTCCATCTGAACTGGCTTCATCACTCTGCTCTCCTCCCCACTGATAGCTGGTGTGTGGTGAGTGTCCTGGAGCACTAAGGCTGCCATCACATCATCCAAGTGGGGCTGCACACTGGTGGTGGTGGAGGGGATCCCCATGACCTGTACAGCGCTTTGAGTGGAGTGTCCAGAAAAATGCTATATAAGCGTAAGCAATTATTATTAATTATTACACTTAAAATCATTTTAAACAATTCGGAAAACAATTTTAGTTACTCCACACCTGTGAACATTCACTTACATTTTTGATGCTATTCTTACAAAATGGGAGTGAAACTACCCTGTTGAAGAGTGTCAGGTAAACGTGTAGTACATGTGAAGTGGGACATGTGTTCTTTATATACTTTGGCTCTGGTAATAGAGTAATTAATCAGAGTCAGACACAGTCAAGACAAAAATTTACTAACAACAATCAAGGCACAACATACAGTATATGCACACACTTCTGAAATATTTTTATATTGACTGAGTTTCAGAGGCCAATGTCTTTCAGACCCACAAAATCCAATATCCTAGCCCTCCAAAACTCTACCAATACTGTAAAAGGCCAAACAGATAAATAAAAACCTGCAACCTAATAACTGAATTATAAACAGAATGAAAACGTCCTACAAGACAAATGCTCAAAAATAAGAGTACGTGTTTTGTAGGGGAGAATGTTCCTCTTCTGAGGGTTCCACAATACAGGAAATCAGTATTTATAACTCCACCGCCCTCCTCTCTCTGCTGAACCAACTTGGCTGACAACAGAACCATGTGCCTGCCACGCTTGCTGTCTGAACTTTGGTTCTTAAAAAGAGACAAGGGAGCTGGTGAGGAGAGATATGAAAAAAAGAAGTTAAGGGAGGGCAATGGAGACAAAAGAATGTTATTTTTTTATATTGTCTCTTGTATCAATCATTCTCCTGCAATAATCCTATTGAGGTGATAAAATTAAAAAGCAGAAACTGTTCCATAATCACCATTCACAATCATCGAATAATTAACTAATTCACCTCTTGTGTGTTTTTAGAGGCCTAAATTGTGCATCTTAAACAAACAAGTTGATCATATTATCAATCTTTTCTTAACCCAATCTGCCACACCTTGATACCAGTTTGGACGCACTTAAACACAGGAGGATTCATAAAAGCAGTTGGAGACCAAACTGTCACTGAATGACTTCTTACCAGTGTTTGTAATTTACAGTTTGGATCCCTCAGAGCTGCAGACAGAAGTTTGACCCCTGAATCACCCACGTCATTGAAGCTCAGATCTAATTCTTCAGGACTGGAGTGTTGTGACTGGAGTGAAGGACAGAGGCCAGGTCCTCACAACATCCGTCTGTTACACCACATCTTGGTAGACTACAGAAACACATGGTCACAAACATCTTCATTTTAAGATCTCACCAATATTTACTAACATTTTTCTAAGTGTTGCACAACAGAACTACCTAGTGCAACATTTAGAAAACCAAATGAACATAAGATTGACACTTGTATTCTCTGCAGTACAGCAGTTGTTACCTAATTGGTTGGCTTTCCTAGTGCAATTGAGCACGATCATACTGGGTTAGACATCTATACATTGCACTGTCAGCACCATAGTTACAAAGCACGTACTTTGCAATAGGAGGCAATACGTCTCCATTATCTTGTACAAAAGTATGTGTGATGAGATCATAGCATTTATCTTCCTCTAAAAAGGTGCAGTGAATGCTTTTATGGAAGCCTCATTATTTGATAAAATATTGATACAAATGTTTTTATCTTCCTGGGATAATAAGTAGCTTCCTATGAATATCTCCATCCATCTCATTGGAAAAATATCATACAAAATCAAAAGATCA